TGGATAGCGTTCTGGTTTTTGAGTTTCAACTTCCATAAGAAACCCATTGTAACAATAGAACACAAGTCCGCAGGTGAACAACTGTTTGCGAATGATTCATAATCGTGCCTATACACACCATATAAGGAAGGGTTTGTTGTTAGGTAAGAAACATTCACCTTCGAACCTGCGCTCTAACACTTTTGGTGTGATGAAATTCACTTGAGAGTGGGTCCTAATTAAATTATTCTAAAGTTAGGTCTGCTGGATTTGGAATAAATATTGAAATTTAGTTCTTCGCTCACCCCACCCCGCACTCACTCCCCCCCCCCCCCANTAATTTTGTTTACCCGATGCAAATCAACCAGCTCCCCATGTCAGTAAAGTCAATCTCACTTCCCCCAAACAGATTTTAAACTCAGTTGTTTACCACTGGTTAACACTGCGTCTCTCACTTAGTGTGTATACGTGTCTGTGTGTGTGTATGTGTCTAGGTGACTAGCTCTGAAACGTGTGCCTCATTTTTCCAACACTGAATGCCCGATTATTTGAAAACCGTTTCTATTCCTCGAATCTCATCCGAGATCCAGTTGCACTGGGCGCGCTGTTCACCTGAACAGGTCTGTGATTCAAAGCGTAATTGGACTCATTGTCCGTTTACTTAAAACTACAGTTCGAACCTGTGAATGATTGTTCCAATGGATTCAATCAGGTGACAGTTGGACGCAAGTAAACAACCTGGATACAGGGCCCGGGAAATGTGTTTCCACTCAAACTTTTCAAACACCGCGACAACCAGATCGGATGCTTGGACACCAGTTCATTTGATTACTGATCGATCTGGATCCTGAGCTATAAAGCCTAATTTAATGCTCATTTGTGGTTGAAAAAACGACTATCTTGAACTATAGTTCGAAAGCAGTGATACTCTCAAGGTGTGCACATCTAAACTTTTAACCTCGTTGGATGAAGTTCCTTTCCTTTGTCGGTATCAGTGAGGTCGTCTGTTTTATGTTTCAGACAGGTAGCAAGCTTGCCTTGCTCGGTCCAGTTCTCACAACCATTACCCATGCACTTTCCTGCTCCGGTTTCGGTTGCTGTCTTTTGGCTGCCCATTTGGATAAAATAGCAGAATGAAGATTGGAATATTAAGAGCAGATGAGTAAATGCATGAGCGCCACTGTTTTCCGTAACCACCCGTATCGCTCAGTATCTCTAACCATTGGTGACCGTGATTTCGGGGTCCCCAGCCAGGGAGCCTAACGGGACCTATGTGGCCTAGTCTCATGGTTAGGTTTTTCATACCCTCATGCCGCTACCTGCCTCGCCAAGCATCGTTCGCTGTGGAAATCTATCTGGTAACATGCGCAGTACATGTCCCAACCAACGTAATCTATTAAGGTCAACTACCTGCTGCAGTGGACGATCGCTAAACTATAACTCAAACCTCAGACATATTTCGGAAGGAGGTATATATCTGTACAAACGCAAACGAAAGCTGCAGTAGTAAAAGACATTTGGAAGCCAACTAAATAGGAATGTCCTGCAAGGGCTTCACGATAATAATACTTGACGTTCTAAATTGCTGGTTTTAGAATCGGAATAGAATTACCTATCGAAGATCAGCCGCCATTCCGGTGTCCTGTTTCCCACTAAAATAGTACCGTTCTCGAGTACCAGAAAGGTGGAAAGCAGTACTCGTAGTGTTCTCTGTAATCAACCGGTCAGCAAATATCGTTCTACTGACCTGAAATCAGGCCCGATTAGTACAGTAGCATTGGTTAGTACAGTAGTATTGGTTATCACTTCCCATGGATAAAAAATGCAAACATTTCCTGCATCTCCGCCTCACCCCTCGGGGAGTGGGTGGGGGATGGCGGGTGTGTGCGGCATATCAGTCGCGTTTGTTTGTTTAATCTCCGCTCATCGCCAAAATAGGAGGCGGTTGAACAAAATCAAATGTCACTTTTTGGTGTTTGTCCAACCATACAAACGCCAGTGTTAGTAAATTTGACAATACAGCGATTTAGGCGAGGCGGTAAGAATACGAAAGAAAATCACCGATATATGAATGCGCGCCCGCGCACACACATCCGGACTGAAAGACCAATATTTCTGCGTGTGTGTGTGTGTGTGTGTGCGTGTGTGTGTGTGACTCAGTACCGCAGTATTCTGCCACGATCTGACAACTGATTAAAACAATCAGCAAGCTGAGGAAGGACCCTTTGATCTATTATCGCCATACTGGAAATTTTTTATAGGGGAAAAAATATTCTTAGAGTAAAACGAAAAATTCATTCATTCCAGTAAAAATCGCGTCCAAGTTAAACTAAGGAAAGCAGTTCCCGAGCTGGCACCAACTGCAAAACCCTCGATGTAGACCACATTCAATGGACTCGGTACACGCCCAAAATTTTTGGTTTTTATTAAGATGCTACTGGGCCTCGGGATAACCTAAATTCACATGAATCTTGCTTTTGTGGTTCTTTTAAATGATGAACGAATCGACCCAGTCCAAACTCCATAAAATCGTGTTGACGATAGTCGAACATGAGTGAGCTTGGACGACGACCGAAACAGGGAACACTGTCATTAGCACATTTGCAGTTTCACCCGAAAAGAGACGTTATAAAACACATGCCCCCCCACGGGGGTCAGTGACATGTAAAAGATGTTGTAATACACCTGAGATGAAATGTGAAATATTTGTTTCATTGCTAGATGAACTTAACCCGTTACTAGAGAATGGTCCTGCCTTGTACAGAACAGAAAAAAACATGTTATCGCTGTGTGAGTGTCTTCAAGGTGATATTTCTTCTCCTTGTGACATTTAAAACATTACCTGAGTGTCATATCAAGCGTCCCCTGGCAAAAAATTACAGACATGTGGTTGGTATTCGATCAGCTTCTATAATTACGTTTATTATTTATTTACCTAATCATTAAGTTATACAGAACCTGCAATGATTTGCGCTGTACTCGTTTGCACGGTCATGTTATGATTTAGGTTAATCTCACAAGCAAAAAATTAACACATTAAAATGTTGGATAAAACCACCTGAAAAATGACTTGCACTCTTTTAAACTATATTTCTAATAATCACTTTCATGATCTCTCTGCTTCCATGGTTTCTAAGTCCTCGTGCGGTTTAACAATACCACGGCACTGGCCGCGATTCTATCGTAAGTTCAGCATGATGTGTGCTTGTGTGCGTGCACATGTTTAGTGTCAGACCGAAATTTTCACTCACATTGCTTAGTTGCTACTTTATTGAGGGAAAATGTCCCCCCTCAGCTTCAAAAGAAAATAGTAAGAAACAATTGAACTTGATTAGTTCCGGTAGAATTTTCCCCTAAACCGACAAATGGATTATTCACGTCTGCAATCATTTCCACCTTAGTAGATGGGTTCGATAGTGAACCTAACCGTTTCGTCAGTTTTTCTGTCACAAAAGATATTGGTGGAAATTTAGTCCACAATGCAGAAATGATAAATCGCTTCCATATGGAGTCAGATGTGTTGTTTGTGATTAATTGCAAGCAACCCGGTCTCTCTCTGTCTCTCTCACTCTCTTGTGTTCACCCAGTCGGTCTGCGTCTCCAGGAAGATTACCAACTAACTCCGTGCGGTTGGCGTGATATTCTATTCGGAAGTCAAAAATTAACAATTCGGCATCATTACACTCTAACGGATGAGTGATTCTTTTTATTTCTCACCGTGGTATCTAATTTCATTATAAATCTTGTATATTTCTTTTTTTTTATTTCTTTTTTTTCTGCTCATTCTCCTCTCCGCCTTCATTCAGTCGGGCGGAAATTGTAATGCGCCTCATCTGTCTCAGTTTTCATTTAACTCGCATCCTTTTAGTGCGTTTTGTTCTACTGTTTCACCTTCTTAGTCCATGTCGAAGACATGTCACTGTAACTGTAGTTTGAAAACCTCCATGGCATCCAACACGCACACACACACACACACAGACAACCAATTCTACCGGTATTCATGTTGACCATTTCTGTTATCCGATGATTCTCTCGCCTTTTCTTCCCCTTCAAACGAATGGTTTCGGCAAACATGGTCACCAATGTGACTTTGTTTTGTTTGTATGTGCAGTTTAGAAAGTGTCACCCCAACTATTACTGTTACGTAAATTACCTTAAATCACTTTCCTTGCAAAAATGTGAAAAGATCAGCTGGTAGAGCGTGCGCTGTACAAACAGCGTAGGTGGCGTCCATCCTACCGAGGCTACTCAACTTGTCACAATCGAAAAATAAAATTGCAATTTGTTAAAAATCTATTTGCACAAAAATGTAAACGTTAATTTTCGGGCGTGCATGGAGGGGTTGGAATCTGATTTTTCAATTAAACTCCAGCCAGTTTACTTGCTAACAGAATTCACAATAAGCTATTGCAAATTTTGCCAAATTTTTATCCACTCAGTTGATCTTAAAAAACATTGACTTGGAATTTTCATTGAATTTGTTTTTTGGCAGTCCATGTACAAATGATCCTCTTTTCTTGAATAATTTGTAATAATTGATAAATAGCGTTCACGGATAAAATCATGAGAACTGTTGAGGCATAATAAAAACTGATTCTTTGTGGCCATGTGAGAGAGGACGAAGATGATGGCACACGCGATTTCCGTTTGACACGATAGGCCAAACAGTTGGATTGAAACAGCACTCTGTTTGTTTGAACGTAGTGATGCAATAGGGAATTTGCGTGAAGTGTAACGAGAGCCGATTTTGCTCGAAATCTACCCCGGATCGCCCGAAATGATACCCCGAAATTAAGCAACATTCCGCTAGAGGAATGCGATGATATGACTAGGCGAGACTGGTTTGTGTGTATTCACGATTCAGAGCGTGATATAAAGAGACAGGAAGAGTAAATGATAGAGACGGAGTGGAAGAAAGCTCAACTGCAAGACAATAAACTGCAACAATCAATTCCCGCCAACGATAAACTCACCCAACAGAATTTTCTTTGCTCTCCACTGTACTTTCCCGTGCTGGTTGAGAACAACACATTGCATATTCACAGTATTTCCGAGTGAGACCGCGTATTTCTCATCGGGCAATTTATCGAAGCATTGGATCCGGTTTTGTCGTTCCTGTGGTGTGCACTCGCTCGATTGAATCACACGCCCGGCATCGTCTGTCAGAATGGAGGAATCAAACAGTGGATCGGATAGAAGTGGGTGTGGTAATTCGGGCAGGGCTGACTGATCAGATTGCACAGGCACTGCTACTACTACCGCCGGGTTGGAGCCCAAACGACCCCGCTGGTTTGGACTGAGATTGAGTAAGATACCGGATCTACGTGCGGAATGTGTTACACTTGCCATATCAATATCCGCAGGTCGACCGAAACGCACACATGAGGTCAGTACGATGATACTTAGATAGAATGATGTAACCCACATTGGTTCATCCATCAAAATCCAATCGGAGATTAGGTGCCTAGATGATGAGTCAGTATTGTATAGTAAGTAATTCCACTTCTATTACTATGATTACAGACAATGATATGAGCTGTTCCTTATCATGTTTGAAGTGCACGATGTAGGTTTTGCGATATCAATAGGCCATATTCATATAACGATACAAAGTGATTTGTATCCGTCTTGAATAGGGGTTACATCTGCAATTTAGATTGATTTATCCAATCGGAGTCTATCAACGTTACACAACCCTTGACCAATCAGATCGAAGGAAAATGGGAATTTCCTACCGTAGGCAAACAATTGAGAAAATGACAAGCTACTGAAAGATACATGTGAGTAGTGAGACCAATGAACTAAAAATATCAAGAATCATAGTGGTTGGACAGCCCCCGGTTTCCGGTATATCATATATGCTATTCAATGAATATTCCTCATTTGTAACACCTAATAACTTTGCAATGAACTAGTATTAAAGAAAATTAAAAAAAAGTTTTCGATTTTAGATAATCTGATCGGGCAAATATTGACCCATGGAACTGCGCAAATGTAACCATTTATTCGGAGTCAAACAGACTGATTTACGGGACGTCGAATCATGCATGGTTCGTATCGTTTTTTCACACACTTATTGATCGATTGATTGCAAAAAAGAATCTACTTCGCTGAAGACACAAAACCGACATGAGAACGATGGAGGGTAAGGTATTTCATTTTGTAACATTCTGTTAGCTCAGTTAACTCTGTTAGCCGAGCAGAATCGATCGTCATGTGCCACAAACAGTTGCACACACACACTGACGAGTAGAGATCGTTGAACCAACCGCGCGTGTCTGAAAATCCCCCAAGCAGACTTGTGCTAGTATATGGAGTTGAGCTACTTGTTAAATCCGAGATAAATGAAAGTATCAGAAACGAAAATTTCCCCGTCAGATGATTAACCGTGTGCCTCTTGATCCGTTATAGAAAGAGATCATTCGAAGTGACCATGTCTGGGATTTCACCTTCATACCAAGTCTAAATTCTGTGCAGTCAAACCGAAAATCGGCCATCTGTGGTGTGATCTACCGGGTCATTCAAAATGGGATAGACGTGTTTATCAACAAACATGACTAGACTTTTATTATCAGCTGGTTGGAACAGTTACTATCTATACGCACATCAGAAGTTTGAAGTTAAAATGGTCATTGCGGCTATGGCTATTTTAAGCGAAATGCCTCCAACTTAGATAGAAATGATGAAGTTTCTATATTTTTAGCGAAATTCGTGTAAACCTGTTCTTAGTACACAAAAATACAGACAAAGGGAGCAGAGAAGAGTTGCGTAACACGCTTACGCATGAGAAAACACAACGGTATTGAGATCTAGCATGCGGATTGTAAGGGTAGCAGCGAATTAAATCTTCGTGCGGTAAATGCGTGGGATCCATAGGAATATTGTGTGCAAACTTTTCACGTGCATTGAAATGACGTTTGCACGAATCGATTGTCAGCTCTCCCAGTGAGGTTGAAGAAACAGGGCTGTCGATCGTGAGTTCACATTGAAGCAGCGTGAAATCTTCTTTATTCAAGAGATTAGAGTAGAAAACAGGTCCACAGTGAAGTGAAACGGCAAAAGCATATTGGTATGGGAACTTAGAGATAAAGCTGTTGAACTCTAAACTACCAATGTTTGAAGTTTCGTGACTCAAAGTTGAATGTGAGAAGTCCATTGAAGGTTATTATCGACAAAGAAACCCCAGGCATTTGATACAGCTTACCCGAGATACCGGTGCAAACTAATCGATTCTGGATCACATGGTGTTGAGGCATTCCAAAGTATTGTAAAAAAACAATATTAGGGATACCGGAAGTATTGGAAGCTTGATGAATATCGTCTGAGTTTACAGAAAATTTTAGCAAGGCAGTCTCCCGGATTAACAGTACAACATTGATCTTTTTGTGCTAAATCGATCCATTTGTACTAAACTCCATGGAACAAGAAAAGCAAACGCTTGTAAGTATTTCCCGTAATAAAACTTTAACTTTGATATTCTTGCTCAAGGTATTTACGGGAAAATCACTCGATTTAACTTTGATTTGCCCACGGGATTTGAGTACTTCAAGATTGGAACTGGTATTCAACGACTTAATCAGCTGTGAGGGCCCGAGGAGGGAGGGAGTGGTGTTGCCCATTTTGTCAGTAAAAACCAGACAGAATATTGCTTGTGGTAGAAAAATGGTGAGCACTCACATAATGGTTAGCTGTTTCTCTAACGTGCCATTTAGGAAACAGTATGCTCATTGTAATCAATGAACAAATTATCAAGTAATTGTGCAAAAATAGTTGATAGTCATAATACGTATCGTTTTCGTCAACGTTAGTCACGCATTTGTTATAATTATACAACATGAGTTCAACAATCTCTAACAAATATAACGCAGCACGCGGCAAGGTGAAAACGCTTATCCCATCGTGCACTGGTTTTTGTGAACAGTTATATATAGCTAGTGAGCACGCTTCAATAGGCACCCGATACACAGTTGCTACCCGATTCCATCAAGTTGAGCGGCTGGAGCGCCAATAATTGTGCATTGAAAAAGGGGCCAAGGTGATTGCCTGGCAATATGTATTTCTCTCTCTTTCGAGTTAATCCGTTTTTCCGTTTATACTGTAACAGCGTGATCGATTAAGTTGACCAATATATTTGAGATCTAATCAGCTTTATTTGTCACTAAAATCAGTTAGTGAAATATGCGATAAAACGAACACGTACGGGGAACCAGTTCACAGGTCCCCCCCATTTGATACAATCCCACGGTTATTTCACATGAAATACCAAAAATAATTTTTAGACAAAAAGGTTTATCTTTCAAATCCAAATTTAACCAATAAATCTTATAGATTTTGGAGTGAGCTTCAAGTATCACTTGACAAAATAGTTAACAAACTTGCAATTAGGTAAATATAAGTTGTTTTTTGAAACAACATTTAGGAAAATGTCACGCATTTGTGGTTTGAAGATCTTCTCAGTTGTTCAAATTGCTGTTTGGCAAACTGAAGTTTTTATGTCTATATTGTAAAAAGTTCAGTAGCTTGGTTGGGTTTCGAACGCATGCATGGATGTCGCCTACGCTTTTGTACGGTGCTCGCTCTACCTAGCGGATCTACGAGGCCACAATTGATAGTATTTACACAATAATTAGCGACCAAGCGCAATATGGTTTGTATCTTCTGGAATTCCACACTGCGTACATATGACGAGAGTGGAAGTAAAACCCAGCAAGTGATAATACAGTGCAGCAAGACAATCGTTTGACCATCCTATCATGATGGCACATTGGCTCGTTAAATGAAAGTGAATCCATCGCACCGCGACAGTCGAATTCATTTCAGATACTTCTCTCTGACATAGAGGTCCGCGACACCTCTATGGGAACGCAGTTAAACTATTTCAGATTGACTGTCGATCTATCGAAAGCGATTCTGTCAACTTCAACAGAGCAACATGTAGGATATCCGATTGCGTCATCGATATCGTTGCTCTAGTACACCAAGTAATTGGGTTGTGAAAGTTTCTAACCGAGTCATAAACCCGGCGACTAGTGCTCAGATGAGCGAGGTCTTTGACCCGCAACAATCTCGCCTAGACGGGCAGTGCTATATCGTGTAAATTCAAAATGAGTAATGGTCTGATCAGCTGCCCGGTGACCGAGTGGGTAGCATGCTTGCGTTCTGTCTGTGTTGAGGTCACACGTTTGCAGATTTTTCGTAATTTTCCTTACCTTACCTTACCTCGGGGACCCAATACTTGCACATACCTGTAACAGGAAAATTGGGAATCTTCTTTTTCGATAGATTGTTGAAGCTCATTAATATGAGACTTACGTCTGTTTGCTAAATTTTACTCTGCTCGTTCAATTCGTTTTCTGGTTCCTACAGACCAAGATATAAAAACAAGCGCTGTGGTGCATCACTTTCGTATTATTGCCGATTATATAACTTCGTTTCCGTCGAGACAAAAACAATACAAATTACAACCGTGTTTCTCCATTCTCAAATCCAATCAATACATGGTAAAGTGGATAATCGTACACATAAAAATATTGGGCTATACAACAATGAAACTCGTTCCTTTGGATAGATAAACGTTCTGTATCGCCGCTTAATGGTATTCAGTCAAATTAGAAACTGTTAAACAAAGATAAATTTATTGGCGCAGTGATTAAACGTTTCGATATATTCAGCAGCTATATTTCTACTATTTTATGCTAAAATATGAGAAAAATAATGTAGAATGAATGTGTTGCACATATGCCTACAATCCAGTGGTCCACTCGCTAATCGATACAGTTGTACCCCAATCATCCTCTGCAAGGAATCCGGGATTCCAAATGTGGCATGTGCACGAATGCTTCGTCCTCTGATCGGAAAGCAACATCTGTCTGTTGCTTCCTGAATACACTGGAAGTTTTTGGCACACCACGTCTGTAAGATACACACCTCCGAAAGGAGAATCAAACACTGTTGATTACTTGAACTATATAATTTTAAGGGATAAGGTTTCACCCGATAGACTTTGTTTTCGTTGTCGTTATGATAACATTACATAATTTGGGAACTGTGTGTGCATCCTCGTCAATCTCTAAAGACAACTGTTTTGATAAAACAAGCACTTTGAAAAAAATTATCCCCACAAAATGTTTCTTCAGTCGCATTTCATGTGCAACGTTTATTTGTGTAATGGCCCTTTCAATCGATTACCTTCGCGTTTACACCATGTACGATTACGTGTCTGTTTGTGATAAAACTGACTAAGTATAAGGTAAGTAAAATAAAGAAAAACGGTTGGATATGGTTTACCGTCGCCCTGGCCATTTTTGTCGATGAAACAATTTGCTTTCACGAAGCTGACAATGCACTGTGTGCCGCAATTCCGATCTATTCAAATGACACCAACGAGCTTGTGCTAGTTAGATTTCAGGGCTTTACTTGATTAGAGGTTTAGAAAACGT